ACGTACTTAAATAATTTATATATAATTATTTATAATAAATTTATTCAAATTTCATTAATATCCATTTTAGCTTTCAGGGGTTAAGGATTTGCATTTCTATTTGATTGTTAGATTCTATCGCAGTCTTACTATCCCTGGATTGTTTTGTTTTGTTTTGTTTTTTTTTGGCATGAACTATATTAAATGCCTTAGCAAATAAATAGCTGATAACTTTTAGACATAGTTACATCTTTAATGAAGGTAAAAGCAGGCGACACATGCTTTCCTGGGAACACTCTAGTTCTGTAAGAAATCAGCAAAGATAATTAAGCAGAAATTTTTGATGAATAAAATGTTTTTTTTAACCTTTTTTTTATAACGCTGACTATATATACATGTATGGTCTGCTTTATAGAACATGATGTGATAGGGTAACGTAATGCACCTTGTACATGTACTCAAAGATGCCGACGTTTTTCAATATCGAAATTGGACATAAAACATATATACAATAAAATTTGAAACCAGCGAGTTAAAAGTAATAAATTACAACTATATGGAAACGAAATGAAAAAAACATGTGTAAATTTGTCAAGTTGGAAACACTCAGAATGGGTATTGTTGGTATCATACAGACTGTGTCATGGCCTTGACTCAAGTTCAACGTCACTAAGAACAGGATGCTTTTACTGGATGTGTGGTCTGAAAGAACATGTGTTAACTTGTCAAGTCGGTAACACAGATAGGTTTGCGTCTTAACCAGAGTGTGTCATGGCTTGACGCAAGGTCATCTGGACAAGTTCTAGGTCACAAAATAGAAAGTGTACATTATTTTATTGTCTTTCTACTGGCGAAGCATTGCAAGTTGATTGTCCCTTAAAAGATTATTTATCATCTTAGAATATGGCATGACCTTGACTCAAGGTCACTGCTCCAACGGAAGACCTATTCGTTGCTCTGCAACGAGCTCGGCTCTAGTTTGTTTACTTATTTATTATTTGTTTTTTTTTTTTTGTTTTTTTTTTTGTTTTTGTTGTTTGTTTTTTTTTGTTTTGTTTTGTTTTGTTTTTTTTTTTTGGCACCTGACATTATAATACAATAAAATAGTTTCAAAGCAAGGGAAAGATCAGAGGCATTCCGAATATATCGTTCATCTTGCGTTCACCGTTCGTTCACCGTTCACTTTGCGATCGCGTTTGCGCTCCGTTCGCGTTCTGCGTTCGCTCACCGTTCACCGTTCACACATCGTTCACCAAGTTGCGTTCAGCGTTCACACATCGTTCACTCACCGTTCGCTCTGCGTTCGTTCAGCGTTCGTTCACCGTTCAAGTGGGAAAGTAGAACGTTTCAGGGACTGTAATCCATTGATTGCGCGTCGACCCTTTATGACGTCACTGAGAAATTACCGGTACGTCGTGCGTTTATGACGCGAGGAACCTGTATTTATACGGATATAGATATGCATTGCTTTTAGTAGTGTTATTTAAAGGAAAACATTTGCAAATGTAAATATATAGAAATAAGTCTATAAAACTTAAAAAAAATAATCTATTCATATAATCTCTATGTATCAAGTTAAATTATTTTTATAAGAAAAATTAAAGAATTCCCGCTGCTATAGATGGTTTCTGTCCCTCTAGTAGTGCTGCTGAAGGGGAACCCAAGGACTGAGTGAATGTATGTGATTTCCCCTTTCGACAGCAATGGGAATGTATTTATATTCATACAATATTAAATAAACTTGTACTTTTCTTTTCTTCTGGTTGTAAAATTAATGTATATGTATGAATGTGTGTGTGTGTGTGTGTATACAACACTATAATTATCATTATTTATTTTTCATCTACAAGTGTTATTATTATCATGTCATCATCCTGCGAGATAATGTAGGACTAATTTAAGCTATAATTGTACTTCGATGGAGCTTAGTCAGGGCCCCATCCCTGGCAGCTGCCATAAAGATTCGTGTAGGGAATTCAAATGTTATAGCATAGGTCTGGGAAATAAAATAGAAAAAAATAGTCATTGCATAGTTCATGTAGCGAGTGTTAGATACTGAAGTTGAACTTAAATTTTTTTTCGGGGGGGGGGGGGGGGACCCACTTTTTTCTTCAAGGAAGTTTTTTTTGCTCTTAATTTACTGGGGAAATTTTCTTTTGAATGCCAGCACCCTACCCCCACCAACACTCGTACATTGTGTACCTCTTTTAAATATGATCATAGTCATGCGATGTCAAACAAGAGGCCCATGGGTTACATCTCTCACATGAGCTCATTGGCTAGGAAGAAGCAGAAATAAGTTCAGTATGGAACGGGGGGGGGGGGACTTTAATTTACACTACCTCAGGATGCTTCCATATCAACATTACTAGTCATGGCTTTGCTGTTTTTAAACAGAAGAATTTTAAAGATTTTTTTCCTGCTTTTTTTTACAACCTCAAGGTAGCTCATTCTGTCAGAGCTCTCGCTCCGTGATCGGAAGGCCGTGGGTTCGAACCCCGGCAGCGACTGACCTAAGTCGATAAAAAAAAATAGGTAGCAACTGTTCCTTCGCCAAGCGCTCGACACTGTGAAGCGAAAGTTTCGGGTCCTGCGGATGATACCTTAATAACCGAGGCCCCATGTCACGACAGGCGTAGGCACGATAAAGATCCCTCACTGCTAAATGGCCCTAAGTGCCGAGTATAGGTCAAAATTTGAAGCCCTTCACCGGTATATGGTGAAGTCTCTATATGAGTGAAAAATTCTCGAATGGGATGTAAAACAACATACAATCAATCAATCCTATGCTTTCCTATGTAAAACTCTGATCTCTCATTGTGGCCCCACCCTATCCAACCTAAATTTGAAAAAAAAATGAATCTACACCACCTGAGGATGTTTCTATAATAATATGACTAATCATGGCTTTGCTGAAGATTTTTTTCAAGATCCTATATTCTTTTTTCTTATGCAAAACTTAATTGACCCTCTGTTGTGCCCCCATGATTTGAACAAACTTGATTTTACAATACGTAAGGTTGCTTCTGTATAAATATGATTAATAATGGCTTAATTGTTCTTGAGAAGATTTTAAAGATATTTCCTATGTACAAGCATTTCATAGTAGAAAAGGATTTACCAAGAGAAAGTTTCAAAAATGTAATTACAATGTAAGCAGTAATTAATTAACAAAGATTGCATTGAAGTCTATGGGGACAAGCGATTTTTTTTAAAATGAAAATTCAAATAATAAGAATATCAAAAAATACTGTGTTGGAAAGATGCATTAAAGCATTAGAAATAGAATGACAATTGAAAACCAGATAAGTTTTTTAAAATTGACTTTTTTATTAATTAAAAACAGAGGGAGATAACCCTTACCAAAATTCAAGGTCATAAATTAGGACACATCCCACCCTTACATGCTTAGCCTAATAGTAATAAATGGAAATTATGTCCAAATATACTGAGTATTAAACACCTACACATATGTTATGTATTCAATTTCATTGAATCTGTTGCTATTAGGGATGGAATACCTTAACTTCTTTATTGCTGATTCAGCATTCAACTTCCTCAGCTAGCTACTTTCCCAAAGCTTTGCCTTATATACCCTTTAGTTTGGCTAGTCCATTCCATGGGTTGTCAGGTCATTCCGTTATTTGAGGTCTCCAACGAGTTTTACTCAAATACCCCTTAGCAATTACACCTATATAAAACTACGTAAAACTTAAACCCCTGTTTTGGCCCTGATTGAATGAAACAAACTGGAATCTACACTATCTGAGGATACTTCTATTATAATATGACTAATCATGGCTTTGGTGTTCTAGAAAAGAAGATTTTTAAAAAGACATTTCATATATATTCCTATGTAAAACTTCGACGCCCTCCTGCGACCCTGCCCTACCCCCGGGGGTCATGATATGAACAAACTTGAATTTACAGTATGTAATGAAGCTTTCACATAAGTTTCATCTTTTCTTACCCAGTTGTTCTTGAGAAGAAGATTTTTAAAAGATGCACCAAAGTTTCACGAAATCTTAAATATCTCCCCTTGAAAGAGGGTGCGGCACTGCCTGTGAACAAACTTTAATCCCCTTCACCCAGGGATGCTTTGTGGAAAGTTTGGTTGAAAATGACCCAGTGGTTCTTGAGAAGAAGTCGAAAATGTGAAAAGTTTACTGACTACAGACGACAGACGGACGTCGGACACTCTTTAATCAGAAAAGCTCACATGAGTCTTCGGCTCAGGTGAGCTAAAAAGGAGACCGATTCTTTATATGAGACAGTATAAACAAAGCTTAGATGCTAACAAGAAGAAAAAAATTAAGATCCCTCACTGCTCAATAGCAATACGTTCCGGAACAGATCTTCCACTGTCAATGCGTGGTAGCCTAAAATGATTAAAAAATAATTCTGGAAGAAGTGAAGAGCAAACAAAGAAACAATCAAAGGCCCAGGATGGCCCAAACAATGACCCTAAGGTAGAGTCGGAAAGTTTTACATAGGTATATTTATTTAGCAAAACTTTAAAAATCTTCTCTAAAGCAGCAAGGTATTATATAATTTGCAACATTATTCATAAGCTCCATGTAGTCTAGGTTTGACTTACCGGTATGTTGAATCGTGTTCACCAAGGGGTGAGACCACAAAAATGAATTCATCAGAGGGAAACAATGTAAAAATAATAATTGAAGGACTCCAGGGCTAGAGTGACTCAGACAGCCATTGTGGCCCTTGGTATTCTTGCCTATTGTAATATTAATGAATCAGACATAAATCATTAATGTCTTCCTACTCTCAGTGCATGTATATATAACATATAATATTTTGGTCACATCTCTTCTTGGTATAAGGCAGTAAGCAGTTACATGTATTTGATTTTTTTTACTTCACCATTTCGTAATTCAGCCGAAAAGAGGTTGTCTCTAGTGTCTATACAAATAAACCCGAAGGATTAAATAGATCACACAAAACAATGTAACGGAGGAACTGTCCATCCTTATCTAGGATGTGGATACAGTTATTTTCGGACGTCAGGATTTGGCTCTGACTGTCTGTTGTGATGTCAAGTGGATGAAAACATTCTTTGGTATTTGAAAACGAAGTTTTCCAGCCTGATTAACTACTGCCACTTCACTTGCTCTCTTATCAGTCATACAGATATTCAGATTTCTGTTCTCACTGATGTATTAAGGAAAAGTATCAGATGAATAGAGAGTCTTCCCTTTGATTTCAAACTGAATGGCTTGTTTCTCTATTGAACAGGAGTATCGGACACATTTTAATAGTATATAGTCAACCCTGTACATGGTAACCAGGATGTCACCAGAGGAGATACTACAGATATAGCAGCGAGGTTTCCACCCCTGTTGTCTGACCACCTCCTGGGTCTGTTATTCTTCATTATGTTTATAGTTTTTGCATCACGGTCAGTATACACTATATCCCCACTTCCTGTCACTGTCACTGTTACATGGTTTCTTCCCTGACTTAAATCGGTTTGAATTGACTTTCGTAGTTTGCCTTGCAGGTTGTGGAGTTTTATGAGTTTGTCATTCTCATGTGTCCAGATTTCTTCATCACCGAGACAGGTAACATTGTATAGTCCACTATACTCTGTGCGTATGGTGTAGATAAGCTGTGGTTCATCAAACAGTGGATTCAATGGAAGACAGAATAATCTTAAGCTTCTAGTGACACCATGGTGTAACCATGTTCTTCTGTGGATAATGCTGACAGAGAACCAAACATTTCATAGAGCTGTTCTATATTGATTTTCTGAGGAGAGAAAACTGGTAATGAAACACTGACTTCTGGAGTTAAAAGTCTGAACTCTGCATTTCTGGATCTGCATACAGCAGCTAAAGAGATGTCTTTGGTTCAAGAATTTTATTCAGATCATGAATACTCTGCTTTTGTGCGACTTCACCTTCCTGTTTATTTAGTGCAGCCAGATGTTTTGTTTTGAACTTATCCATTTCAGATTTTTGGTTGTTGACCTTTATGTCAATTTCTATGAGCCAGTTTTCTCCTTGTTTCTTAACAGCTACTGTCAGTTTCCCAAAGTGTTTTCCAAGTTATCTTTTTATGGTTTTTATGCTTGATGCAATTTCTTCATATTTTGGATATATTCTCACCTCAAGTTCCCTCAAGTCCTTTTCTATATCTTCTGTTTTGGAGCTTCGTTTTTCGAAAATATCTGATAAAGAGTGCCCTTTATGTTTCGCTGAATAGACAGGTATGTCGCAATTATCACAATAAAGTTCACAGTTCTTTAAATGCACTTGACATTTAGGGTTTTTATGAGTTAAAATTCTTTCTTCATATGGCACGACTCTGTGATTTTGGACGATTCAGAAAGATGTCCTCCAACACAGGTCATACAAAGATTGATAATACAAAGTTCACAATGACTTTGCACCATACGGGTCTGTTGCAACCACTACTGAAATAACGTCTACTATTGAATTAATTATTTCAATAGTGGTTGAAAGTGCATTTTAAAACCAAACATAGGTTGCAACCACTATTGAAATAACATTCACTATTGAAATAATTATTTCAATAGTGGTTGACAGTGCATTTCAGAAGCAAACACGGGTTACAACCACTGAGGAAATAATGTTCACTATTGAAACAATGATTTAGATGAAGGTTTTCAATGCATTTCAAAACCTAAACCAGGTTGCAACCACTATTGAAATAATGTCCACTATTGAAATAAAAATTTCAATAGTGATTGAAATAATGATTTCAATAGTGATTGAAATCATTATTTTAATAGTTGCTGACAATGATTTCAATATAAAAACCAAATTGCAAGCCTCATTGAAATAACCTCAACATTGGAAAAAACTATAAGGATAAATTCTTCATTATGTTTTCCAACATAATAAATGAATTAATTGAGTTTAAAATATGATATGTAATTTTTATGTTTTAATTTCTGTCCAGAAATACTACTAATACACAGATATCTGTGATTTAACTGATCTAGTAATTTTAAGTAATTTTGTTATATAAGGTTCATTTTTGTTATAAATTGCGGAAAGTAAAAGATTATAAATACAGATAGTTGTAGAAATTAGAATATCTACATTAAAAATAGGAAAGAACACATCTATTGATATTTAATATGTCTACAAACTTTCTAATGAAAAAAAAGGTTTGTTTTTTTTTATCAAAAGGATATAGAATAGAAGTAAATTCTCGCTTATATTCTTGGGTTTGCCTACACTACTAATATGTATAGTAAATCAAACGTTTCTAGTCAATACATTAAAATCAACTATTTGGGAAAGCTAAGTATAAGTGTTATAACATCAGAGGTCGTTATTTCAATAGTGGTTCCACATATAAAACCGCTATTGAAATAATTATTTCAGTAGTCATCGTTATTTCAATAGTGATTGCAACTTGGTTTAGGTTTTGAAATGCACTCTTAACCACTATTGAAATAATTATTTCAATAGTGAACGTTAATTCAATAGAGGTTACAAGCTGTGTTTGGTTTTGAAATGCACTCTCAACCACTATTGAAATAATTATTTCAATAGTGGTTGCAACACGGGTTTCACAAAAGTCACACCATAGGGTTTCTTGAATAATCCAAATTTCCAGTAAATACAATTTAGCAAAAATCATAAATACTCCCCCCCCCCCCCAAAAAAAAAAAAAAACCAAAAAGACTTGCTTTTTACAAAATAATTAAAAGACACTGGTACGTAAAGGATACTCATATTGAAGATAGTATTTACTGAGAAACATACATTTTCACTGTCATATATACATGTAATTCAACATCCTACATTATTTTGCCAGATTTTGAATTTTTGCAAAGAACTTTTGATTATATTGCAGAGAAGCTTATCAGTGAATTCCAGTCAGTCAACCTTATCAAGAAGTTAATTCACCATTGAACAATGATTAATTACCAAGTCATATACGTAAACAGCACAAATGTTAATTAAATGACAAGGTTACATGTATGAACTGCCTTTCATGGCTCCTGGAAACTGATATGACTCCCTAGTTCTGCTGTCTACATCGACTTGATTCCTGATCACGTGATTTAAATACCTACAGTTTTTGTTTTAAAATAAGCATTGATCACTGTTTGTTTGAAAATAGTACAAGACATTTAATGTTGACTATTTGCGGTTTAACTTGCTGTTTACACACCATAAATAAAGGTTCATTTGGGCTTTTCTGATCGAAATTTTCCATTGTCTGTTGTTGCCAGTGTTTGTCTCACAAACCTTTACATTTTTTTTATTTCTAGAACCGCTGGGCCAAATTTTGCACATATTTAATTTAATGGACTATGCGGTATGTTCAGATTGTCATATCATTGCATTGCACGTTTGGTTTTGATTTAAATTGTAAGTTATGTACTAAAACTGTATTCTGATTTATTCAACACGCTATATCTCTTCCAAGCATTTGTTAAGAAATCTTGTAACGTAATCTGTGGCATTTTTAATAAGCAGCTGTGTGACGGTACATATTGTCATTATGTACATATTGTCGTCGGCGATATAATTGAGGCTGGGGTCGACATTTTAGCTCACCTGAGTTGAAAGCTTCTTCTCTACAGGACCAAATTCAACCAAACTTACAACAAAGCATCCCTGGATAAAGGGGATTCAAGTTTGTTCAAATGGAGATCTATGCCCTCTTTCAAGGGAAGATAATTTCAAAATAGTGAAAATTTAGTGACATCTTTTAAAAATATTCTTCTCAAGAACCACAGTGCAAGAAAAGTTGAAACTTACGTGAAAGCTTCATTATAAATTGTTGATTCAATTTTGCTCAGATCATGACCCCCAGGAGAAAAGTGAGGCTACAATAGGTGATCAAAGTTTTAACTAAGAATATATAGGATAAATCTTTCAAATCTTCGTCTCAAGAACTACTGGGCCCCAAGGGTAATAAGGTGGGGGCCACAATTGGGAATCTCAGTTTTACATAGGAATAGTTACAGAAAGTCTTCAAAAATCTTCCAAAGAACAAGCCCATGGCATGATTAGTCATGTTCATATGGACACATCTCCAAGTAGTGTTGATTCAAACTTCTTAAAATCATGACCCCCGAGGCTAGGAGGGGCCACAATGGGCGGTCAAATTTTTACATAGGAATATATAGGAAAATTCTTTTAAAATCTTAATGATTAGTCATATTTATAGAAGCATCTTCATGCGACATATACCGCTGGACGACAATATTAGCAGTAAGGGCAGGTACACATTATCACCGGCGACAGTATGAATGGGACGACAATGTGTACCTTTACAATCACACTGCATGAAATAGCACTCTAGACACGTCAGCGTGATTTTCACACAAATTACATTCATATAACGACTCTAAAAACTACCAAAAAATCTTTAAGCAACAGCATCTGTGGGGCAACAATATGTGCAGTGAGGTTAGGCTCATAATGTCACCAGCGACAATATGTATGTGTATGTGCAACGTTTTAGCTGGCAACAATATGTGCCGATAGAGGACAGTAAGTTCAGTGAAGGTAAGTACATATTGTCGCCGACGAAATATGTACAGAACGACAATATGTACCGTCACAAACTGTTACATATGTAAAATGCCTTTTTTATTCTGTTGTTCCTAAAAAGCAATGAAGGTAGTACGATCCCCAAGTTCTGAAATCAGGTGATCAAGTAATCGACAAAAATGTCTTTGAATTATCAAAGTAATTTTTTTTTACCCATGGTATTACTTCAAATTTCATCATTATAGTTCATCAAATGATTTAGGAAAAATTAACAAATTTCGGATATATTTTCAGGAAACGCGAATAAAAGTACCTCCTATGCTTTTCCAATTGAAAATTTTTCAACAAATATAAATTAAATTAAACAAGAGGCCCATGGGTCACAACTCTCACCTGAGTTACTTTGGCCCTGTTGTTCTTCACCAGATTTTCCTCTTGTAATAATACCAACTGCGGTAACACCCTACCCCGGGGGTCATGATTTGAACAATTTAGAATCTACACAACACCAGGATACTTACACATAAGTTTCAGCATTTCTGGTCCAGTGGTTTTTGAGAAAAAGATTTTTAAAGATTTTCCCTATATATTTCAATGTATAAATTGGATTCCCTATTCTGGCCCCACCCTACAACCGGGGTCCATGCTTTGAACAATTTAGAATCTACATAACCCCAGGATGCTTCCACATAAGTTACTTCTTTTCTGGCCCAGTGGTTCTTGAGAAGCTTGTAATGAGATGTTAATCAGCTTCACAGTGTCATTGATATCTGATTTAGGAGTTAATCGAAGAGGACATGGGTTTCTTGCAAATTGTTAACTTTCCAACTCGGAATGACAACATCCTTACTTATTCAGTAATAACAGCCCATCTTATCAATCGCTGTGAATCATGCCAGGAATTAGTGATCAAGTGGCATATTTTGTGATAGCTAGCATTTTTAAAGCAGGTGCAAGTAAACAGCCTCAAAAACATACGATCTTCCAATGGAACAAAGCTGACATGGATGAAATCCGAAAGAGAGCAGCGACATATCTCGAGTAGTTTTCTGGAAATTTCATCGCACATTAGACGTCAACATCATTTGGTTTCACTTAAGTTACCGGTGTCTCTGTAAATGGTTTGTTGAAGCTTCTGAAAGATCTTAACCCAAGCGAAGCAAGTGAACCTGTGTATATACCCTAATGACTTATGCAAGAGGCAGCACCTCATCTAGCACCAAATCTCGCGTGTATTTCCCAAACCTCCATCAATCAGGGAAAATACCTTAGGACTGGACAAATGCACCTTAGCACCAGTCTACAAGAAAGTAGACCGTAACCAGCCACCTAACTACTGTCTCTTAACTATTATTTGCTGTAAGATCATCTAACACATTTTTCATGCTCAAGTCTGTACTATCTCGATTTCTTTCGGACTTTCAACACGGTTTTCGAAAACGCCGCTCTAATAAGACACAGCTTATCCTGCTTCTTATAACCAATCGAAAAATATTGGCTACAGGAAACAAACCGATGCCATTCTTCTGGATTTTTCTAAGGCTTTTGACATAGTTCCATAAAGGCGCCTAATTCACAAATTCCATCAGTATGGAGTTAGGGGAAACATTCTGGATTGGATATAACACTTCCTTTCGGAACGCACTCAGACAGTAGTCCTCGATGGAACCACATCCAGCTCACATGATGTCACATATATTCCTGGTGTACAACAACGACATGTAAGAAGTATTTAGTCCACTGCTCGACTCTTCGCGAATATTTGCCTTGTCTACAAACAGATTAAGACGGTAAAAACTGTGCTAGCCTGTAAGAAATTTACTGATCTACAGGAGTGGGAGCAAAAATGATTGATGCAGTTCCATACTGAGATGTGCGAGGTTATTACCATCAGAAATCGAAAGCATCCAATTCAATATTTCTATACCATCCATGGCCATCATGTCTACAATGCCAAGTACCTAGGAGTCACTTTCATCAAGTTCATGTCACGGAATCCCCAAGTGGACAACATTACGAACAAGAGGCCCATGGGCCACATCGCTCACCTGAGCACATTGGCTAGGCAAAAGCACAAATCAGTTCAGTATTGAAAAGATTACCGGGGGGGGGGGGGGTACCTGATGATGCTTCCATGTCAATATAACAAATGGCTTTGTTGTACTTGAGAATTAAGATTTAAAAAAAAAATCCCATATATTCCTTTGTAAAAATTTGATCCCCCATTGTGGCTCCTCCCTATCCAAGGGGTCATCATTTGAACAAACTTGAATCTTCACTACCTGAGGATAATTCCATATCAATATGACTAAACATAGCTTTTCTGTTCTTGATAAGAAATATTTTTTCTATATATTCTTATGTAAAACTTTTGATCCCCCACTGGGCCCCACCCTATCCCCCCCAGGGGCCATGATTTGATCAAACTTGAATCTACACTATCTGAGGATGCTTCCATATATATGACTCATCATGGCTTTGCTGTTCTTGAGAAGAAGATTTTTAAAGGTTTTTCCTATATATTTCTTTGTAAAAATTTGACCTTCCATTGTGGCCCCGCCCTACCCCTGGGGGTCATGATTTGAACAAAGAGCTAGGTTCACTTTATGCATAAAATGGCCCTGTAGATATACCAGTTTATTGACCAATACCCCGTGTACCATTTTCAACATTAATATAAAGAAGAGACTTAGTGCTTTCAGTTTATACAACAGAATTTCCTTTGAATAGTCCAGGCATTGAAAAACAGGTTGTGTGAAATTGTAATATTATTGAATTTTGCAGAAAACAGGTGTTTTGAGAACCTTCAGCAAAGAAATAAAATATGAGCACACCCCTCAATCCAAAAATTAAAATATGCTTTATAATCTTCATAAATAGTTCTTTTATAATATATTTACACATTTTAGATCGGAGGTTGTGCTGTATACGAAATATTGAAAATTGGCATCATATTTTGGCCATTTTTGAAGAAATATTCAGGATATGTGGATAATGACGCAATTCATGACGTCATAATGCATTAACTAGAAAGAAAATTGCGTCATTTTCAGTATATATTCATTCACCAAATGCTCAAGTATTATTTATTACCTTGTTGACTAAAACTATACAGTTTTGTATTTTCAGAAATTCACAGGGCCAAAAAGGCCCTAAGTGGCTCTTGCTCGTTGAATCTACACCACCTGAGGATGCTTCCATATAAATATGACTCATCATGGCTTTGCTGTTCTTGAGAAGAAGATTTTTAAAGGTTTTTCCCATATATTTCTATGTAAAAATTTGATCCTCCATTGTGGCCCCGCCCTACCCCCAGGGGTCATGATTTGAACAAACTTGAATCTACACTACCTGAGGATGCTTCCATATAAATATGACTCATCATGGCTTTGCTGTTCTTGAGAAGAAGATTTTTAAAGGTTTTTCCTATATATTTCTATGTAAAAATTTGATCCTCCATTGTGGCCCCACCCTACCCCCAGGGGTCATGATTTGAACAAACTTGAATCTACACTACCTGAGGATGCTTCCATATAAATATGACTCATCATGGCTTTGCTGTTCTTGAGAAGAAGATTTTTAAAGGTTTTTCCTATATATTTCTATGTAAAACTTTGATCCTCCATTGTGGCCCCGCCCTAACACCAGGGGTCATGATTTGAACAAATTTGAATCTACACTACCTGAGGATGCTTCCACATGAGTTTCATCTTTCCTGGCCCTGTGGTTCTTGAGAAGAAGATTTTTAAAATATGCTATTAATTTTTCACTAATTCTTTATTATCTCCCCTTGAAAGAGGGTGTGGTCCTTCATTTGAACAAACTTGAATCCCCTTTACCCAAGGATGCTTTGTGGCAAGTTTGGTTGAAATTGGCCCAGTGGTTCTGGAGAAGAAGTCGAAAATGTGAAAAGTTTACAGACAGACGGACAGACAGACAGACGGACAGACGGACTACAGACAAAATGTGATCAGAAAAGCTCACTTGAGCTTTCAGCTCAGGTGAGCTAAAAAGGCAAATCAGATCGATTTTTTCTTGCAGGAATATTCTTATGTGCACCAGGAAGCCAAGTAACAGGCATATTATTTCTTCGTTTATCCTAGTCTGGAATACACATCACCTATATGGGATACCAACACTGCTAGTAATATTAATGCTGTGCAAACGGTAGATTTTGTGTGTGGCTATTACAGTGCCAGTAGCGTATCAACCATGCTAAACGCTTTATCATAAAATATCTTACAACAACACACACCCAGAGTTAAGACCATCATGCTCTACAGGATCATCAATAGACTGTTCGACATACCGCAAGTACAGTACTTTATTCCAACTAGTAGTCATACTAGAGGAAATTCCATAAAGTTCCTCCAACCATACGGCAGATTATTAGCCAGTACTCGTTTTTTACCAGTATAGTCAGATACTGGAACACGCTAACTGGGTCAAAGATTAAAATCAGCTCTGTTGAAGCCTTTAAAAAAAAACAGAAATCAACCTCCTGTAATCAGCTATGTTTTTGAGCTTTTAACCTTCTAACTGGAAAAGGTGCCCTTTGTGTCGCGATTGGTTTTTTTTAAGATGCACTAATGGGAGAAGAAGTGAAGGATGCACTAATGGAAACAGGAGAAGAAATTGAATTAAATCTTTAATGTGTTTTTACGCATAATAGTCTTTCGGTAACACCGAGATATCTTAACCATATAACTGTACATCTGGGTCAGACCCTGGACATTATCAAAATAGAAATATATGTTTCCGGGAGCACAATTTGCCGAAAATAAAAAGTGATTGCTCGATTGATTGATTGTTGTTTGACGCCGACTCTCCAAAAATGAAGAAAAAGAAATAGGGAAAAGACTAAAATAATTGTAAATTATAACAATATCAGTATTTTATCAAAATGAACAATGAACAATATGTATAGCAATCAGCATTTATTCTGTCTGCTCGTAATATTTGCATACACAGTCACACTAAACAAAACACCCAGCTCAACAGAGTTTACTTTTCAACCTGAAGACATTGCATGTGTCAGCGATCATAAAGCACAGAGAAGATTGAATGATTTGAATATAACACAGCATCAACAAAGACCTTATACAGTTAGCGTATGGATTTCAAGCAAGAACTGAACGTTAATAGAGATACAAGTGCCATTTAATTTGTGTAGAAAAAAGAAAATATTCAAATCACTGACTTAAAAATAAATTAACACTTTCACAACCGCGACATTAGAAATTAGAGTGAAAAACAACTAGAAAATAAAATTTGTATAAAGAATTATTTTTTTTTGTTCATTTTGATTGTCTCAAGATTTTTTTATGTAGAGAAAAAAGATATTAATATTTTGAATGATGGTGTTTATTTTCTTAAATAAAAATTACTTATATTGATGGTTTTAAATAATATAGTTTTTCCCATGAAATAGGATTGTATTTATTAAAAGGGTAATAAAATTTTATCCTGAAAAGATAAACAAATCATTAACCTATTGCTTCATTTTTTTCAATCATATTCTTCTCCATTCACCAAATATATCATGTACCAAACGAATGGTCACAAAAAATGTGCTTAAGATTCTGAAATCTCATGAATGTTTATATGCACAGTTTTTAATGACGTAATTGTATGTATGTAATTTTATCATTTTGATGTTATAATTTCTAATACACATATGTTAAGTTACATGTAATTAATCTATTCTTAGTTCTTAAATTATAAATCTATTTTATAATTATTATTCTTTTATAATAATTTGATATCGGGACTCTTTTAAAAACTTATGACTGTGCATTTTTCTGAGTATTCAATGCTTAAACTTTTTTCCTTTAAAAAAAAAAAGATGACAGATAAACTTTAAGGATACAGAGCTGGCCAAAACAATCGATCAAAGAACTTAACAATGTAAACAATAAAGAGCTGTATATAGTAAAATATTTGTGCCTATAGGTAAGTAGTCTACACATTTTGTACGAAACAATTGGATGGGATCAATCACTGTCAAACAAGGATTTTCCAAAACAATTAAGTTAATGTCTTAACAGAGATCCAGCTATTTGATCTCATAAATATCCTTTGATTAAATTTATACATGTGACTTGTTCCTTATAACTTGTGGTTATATTTAATATAATGAAACTTCTACTCCAAGCAATTGCACTGGCAATAATAATAAACCAACGCAACCCTCTTCAGTTAAAACAAGGGGAGATAATCAAGAAAAGACAAAAATAGGGTGGGGTCATTAAAAATCTTCCTCTCAAAAACCACTGGGCCAGAAAAGCTAAAACTTATGTGGAAACATTCTTGGGTAATGTATATTCTAAATTCTTCCAATCATAACCCCCGGGTGTAGGGCGGGGCCACAGTAGAGAATCAAAAATTTACATTGAAATATATAGAAAAATCTTTTAAAATCATCTGTTCAAGAATCACTGGACCAGAAAAGCTGAAACTTATGTGGAAGCATCCTTGGGAAACGTAGATTCTAAAATCATTACCGCCGGGGTAGGGCAGGGCCATAATAGGGAATCCAATTTTACATGTACATTGAAATATATAGGAAAATCTTTAAAAATCTTCTCGTCAAGGATCACTGGGCCACAATAGCTAAAACTTATGTGGAAGCATCCTTGGGTAGTGAAGATTCTACATTTTTCAAATCATGACCACCGAGGAGAGGGCGGGGCCACAATAGGGAATCCAATTTTTTCATTGAAATATATTGGAAAAATCTTTACAAGCTTTTCTTAGTATGAGAGTGTTTACAGGTAAATATATCTGATTTTCTTCACACTACCTCCCACACACTGGGCCACAAAGAGATTGTCTCTAGTGTCCACATATAATCCCCATGGATGATTTAGATAAACGTTATCAATGCAACGGAGGAACTGTCCGTCCTGATCTATGATGTGGATACAGTGATTATTAGTGTCTGCTGTCAGGATCTGACTTTGGCTGTCTGAAGTAATGCCGATTGGTTTAAATGGTTCCTTATTAGTAGAGGGA